GCTCTGAGTCAAATTACAGCGGGTGGGAATGTAATGTAATCTAATATAATCCTTATTTAAACACGATCAATTCATAAAAGTACACATCACACACGCTAAGATATTTAAAATTAAATCTGCATACTATAACACTAAAAGCTGTTTTCCGTGAATGCCGTGCGTTAGACTTAAAGAATGTCATTTATCTTACGTTTAAATACCCCCAGAGACTGTGTGTTCCTTATATCACAAGGTAGACTCTTCCATAATGTGGCGCCATCGTAGCTAAAGCTTTTTCTGTAATAATTAGTGCGCGGTAATGGAACATTGAGTTTCTTTTCAGAGTCCCTGAGGTCATAAGCAGAGTCCCGTCACGTAAACTTTGAATACAGATACTCTGGAGCTAGCCCGTGCAGACATCTTAACATCATGGTGGCTTTATGAATTTCCTGCTGGCGTGCAAGATTTTTCCACCCTAAAAACTCGAGTAGCTCAGTTGCACCAGCGTCATAGTTAGAGGATGTCAACACACGGCTGCTCTATTCTGCAGTGTCTGCAGTTTGTCTTGTAGCGTTTTCCCACAGCTACCCCAAACAATGTCGCAGTAAATGAGATGTAAGGTTGATGCTGGGATAAGGTGCCTAATTCGCCTTAGGGTTCCGATACCAGAGGCGATCTTTTTCGTTAATTTTTCGATGTGACCATGCCAATCGAGTTTATCGTCTATTATTACATCAAGCGATTTTATAGCTGTAACCTGGCTCACTTGAGTATTGTTCATTCTAATTGTTGGTGAAGCTGTGAGAGTATTTAGTCTCTGCCTCGACCCTATTAGCATGAATTCGGATTTGGTCATGTTCAATGTGAGTTTGTTCGCTTGTAGCCAGTTGAAAACGTTTGCTAGGTCTTCATGTAGACAAAACTGAACATTCTCAAGATTGCTGCCCGCATATTTGAAGTGCGAGTCGTCAGCGTACATTCTCAGTTTACAATTTGACGAGCAATTTGGAAGATCGTTGATATATAATAAGAACAACAATGAACCCAGGATGGTTCCTTAGGGGACGCCGCAAGTCAATGAGTAGCTAATGGATAGCGACCCGTTCACAGAGCATTTTTGTGTGCGGTTTTCCAAATATGACTGAAGCCATTTGAAAGATTTGCCATGTATATCATAATAGTTTAGTTTCGATAGAAGGATCTGACAACAGTGTCAAAAGCTTTTTTCAAATCTAGAAAAAAAAAACTGCATTGATTTTCTCGTTATCAATATTACATGCCCAAGAATCTGTCTATTACTGCTCTAGTTATTGCCCTTACAAAGACCCTGATTTTTTCGCATTACCTTTCCTACTTGTTTTATGAATTGCTTGTAACAAAGTTTCTCATTCTAAATCAATACTAATACAGACATGCTTAGCTTCTTGTCAACAACACCAAATTACAAAAAAGCTTTTTATTGATCATTTAGGGTTTGAAGCTGTCTTTACAAATCTTGGCGCCAGGGGAAAAAACGGTCCATTGTCAATTGGTAATCACTACACAGGTCAGGACCATGACGGACAAGTTACGCTATCCAGCGGTATTCAACTATGGACTGTCCCACACACTGGTCAGTACAGAGTGAAGGCAATAGGAGCTGCAGGGGGGTACGGTAAAGACAGTGATGAGGAGTTCCGAGGCAGAGGGGCTAGGATTATTGCAACTTTTGACCTGTCAAAAGGAGAAGTTCTCAAAATACTTGTTGGTCAAGAAGGATGGATTGACTTGAGATATTCAAGTTCTGGAGGAGGAGGGGGCTCATTTGTCGTGACTAAAAACAATACACCTCTGGTAATAGCTGGAGGTGGAGGCGGACTAAAAAGGGTCAAATCAAGGCATGAAGGATGTGATGCCAGCGCTAACACAACGGGAAATCCCGGACATCAGTCGTGGTCAGGGGGAAGCAATGGACAGGGCGCACAGATTNACGAATGTTGTTACAGAAAAGATGGCCATGGTGTGGTACTTATTACCTTCCTGGGGTAAAATGTCATCAGGAGTTTCACATTTCGTGCGTGACTGCAATTACAACTAAGGAACTGAACTGTAAAATCATATTCTGTTGAATTTTACGCTGTGCCTAATGCTTTGCAAGTTGCCACCTTATTCATTGCACTTTTGTCACCCTCTTGGTGAAACTTCTCAATCGCATGAGTGAAATAGTCGCCCTTTCAGAGCAAGTTTGTATCATTGCAATTAGACTGTCAATCAATAGTAGGCTGAGATTAGTACGACAGTATATCTAAGCATTTAGAATTCGCGCTCTGAGTCAAATTACAGCGGGTGGGAGTGTTCGCTCCTCGTAACCTGCATAGGGAGGGGGGGTGTATTTTCTGGCAATGTGAACGCTGAACACTCCGGTTTAAAACTGAGGCCCTCATAATGGATCTGTGAGATCGCGCTACCTCTGCGGGGAACAAACAATGAGACGGGAGGAAAAACCAAAGAAAAATATAAAAGAAGCAATTCTCAATGTCGGACCCTTTCCTCTTCATTACTTAGTTAGTTTCATTGCCGATCGATCCAATATGGCGGCTTCATTCCCTCTAAGCTCACCGTCCTTGGTCCTTAGCTTCAAACTTCAGTCAAATAAACAGACTTTGGAATCTTCAAACTAGGCCGTAGAAACAAGAGGACTCAATACAAGAAGCCAAGGTTTACTGAAGGAACAAAATTCTCAGCTTTTGAAAGTGGTTATCTCACGCGTAAAAATAGTAGTAGATATAACTGTTTATAACACGAATGTATCCTGTTTTTTTGCTGATACACTCTTTTTATAGATGATCGTTATCGTAACCTTCAGCAAGAGAACACCAGTGCATGGGATCTTAGCAATCGTGTTGATAACTGTATATATATATGTGTACTCTCGTGCATCCAAGTCAGCCTCAAGTCTCATTCTCAGACGTATTTTGGATGTCTATCTTTGGGTTGAGCGTTGCATGACATCCTCAGGCTAAAGAACGGCTGCGACGCAGAGTTTACATATGTCTCTAGATGAAAGACTGAACCAATTTAAAATTCCTTTTTATAGCTCAGTTACTGACACAGTTAAAGGAACCTCTAAGTAACTTAGGCAACGTTCACTGTAAACTTTAACTTAATCGACTGTTTCGTATTTCCCCTTAACAATTATGTACCTGCTCTACTGGTCACTCACATGTCACAAACGGATTTAAAGAGAAGAAATTTGCTTTGTATGTTACTGAAGGAAAAAGGTCCAATCGAAGGAAGAGAACAACAACAACAACAATACCAACAAAAAAACAAAGTTTACTTCTCAAATAAATTTGCAAATTAACACAATGAGCTTGAAAAAAAAGGTGGTTTCCTGAAGCAATTAAGTGTTGTTCAATCTCATTTATTCGGTGCGCTACTTTGATAACCCTATTAATATTTTGACAGACACTCGAAGAGTCGAGAAATCATAGGCAGAAAGCTAAATTTTCATTAAGTGCAGTCCATTGCTTCTATAGAATGTTAAAGGTTTACCAGTGCGATAAACGATACATTTTTACCAATCAGAGTGCTCATTGCCTCTCAGTTATCTGACGTCGACATGTAAGGTTACTCATGCCTAGAATTGCTCGTCACCATGTCACCATATTACACTGAACAACTTTGTCAGTAGATCTTTCATCTACTGACAAAATCGAGGACGCCCAGAAATATCCTTTCCCGTCGTTCTTTTCTTGCCTTGGGACACTTGTAATAACTTACCATAACAAAAAGTCTTCTTTTCTTTGCGTCGGTGCAATGAGCAAGGTAAAATTTCTTGCAGATCATGATGCATTCTGCCCCACTGCTGACCTACGAAAGAAATAAACAGGAATCAGATATCATAGAAAAGCTTCTTTCACTAACTAGCACAAATCTCTTGGACCTCTTATGTGAGGCTTGATTCCAGTGACTCGATTAAATTATCATAAAGCAACTAAGCAAGATTTGCCGTTCTGTTGTTCCCAGTCTCCTTTTGTTCCCTATAGAGTAAGTTGTTTATATTCATATCATTAAAACGCCCATTGTTTGGGATCCTTACTGCGCATGCTCTGTAATTAGCACGCATAAGTCGTGTGTTGCATCAATCTCTTGACATTTCTAAAATATAGCTTTCTTTACTTTATAATTGAGCTTAAATGAACCATCTATTTTATCTTATTTACTCAAACGAGGTTTTAAACATTGTTAAAAGAGTGGAAAAAATCTCGGCACTCTCTAATACTTTTTTAATTTTTTTTAACTTTTATTTATCTCCCAACCAGCTACTAGAGGGAGGCGTGCCAACTCCTCATTTTACTCCAAGAACTATGCAAAACGAGTGTCATAATTAAACCTAA